ATATTTGTTCGGGTTTACGCAGTCTGTTATGTCACTTGGCAGAATTTATCGGATAGGTTTTTATTCTTGCTGAGATTTCAAGTTAACAAAACGTCAAGAAAATTAATCGGCTTTATATGTTATAGATATATTGACGACAACAAAACATAACTTAATATAGAAGTTGTATGACCTCGTTTTCGCAACTCGTTCATATTGGTAGGAAGACTTAGAGGAACACACCTAGCCTGGAGTCCATTGTATGCATGATCATTTCCAGAGTAGGACCGTGGACGTGGTACATTCCAAGACATTTCGCCGGCATCGTCAGTGAGTCTCTCCATTCGTAGCTTCTGGGAATGAGCCACGTCCACGGTTAGACTTTGGAAATGATCATGCATACAATGGACTCTGGACTAGGTGCGTTCCTCTAAGCCTTCCCACCAATATGATCAAATCGTGAAAACAAGGTCAAACAACTTCTATACAAAGAAAGGAGACTGCGACCACACAAAAGGCCACACTATCTTGGTCTTCATACCTTCAAATAACTAAATGTACCTAGTTATACAGATACTATCAACCCATAATTTATGTTTCCAAGCCTCCTTGGGTGCATGTGTACTTGTAAGTGTGTGTAATTCATGGAACGAAACCAACTCTCATAACTTTATGTAGTCAAATAGATAGCGGAGCTATCAATTTTTAAGAACTCTAGGAAATGCATGACTGTAATTGAATAATCCCTCACGTGCGCCTGCCTGGCATCGATAAATGTTTTCAAATCCTGCATTTTACTTATGAATCTTTCCATCAGACATTTTTACTCGAAGTGAGAGTCGTCACATCAATGGTATCCAAGACGACTCATCAAAATCCTTTTATACTACAGAGATATTTCCTGTTTTTCATCAACTATAACTATAAGTGAATTTAATGAGAGACAGTAGTATTTTATAAGGAGAAAAGATAACTAGCATTCAAGTCCTAATGCAAATTTTATCGGGTTTTCGCCTGGATTTGACTACATATTTTTCCCATTAAAATATTTTGTTTGACTGCCGATATCAGGAAAATTAGCTTTGTATTCGGAGTTAAGTAGTTCTCTTATAGTCATTAATTTGTCTATTAAAGAGATTTTATAGTAATGACTACTTTTACATTTATTTTATCCCCCTCTTCGATGAGTATTATTCCATCTTTACTATTTCATCCTTTCCCTTTCTTCCTTTGCTCTTCGTGTTTATCTTTTCTCATTAGATGCAATCGTTACTCTCCTTTCTTGCTTCTTCTCTTGAACCATTCTATCCTCTTTATATGTTTATCTTTATAATACTTATTTTATGGTTTTTCTCTTCACTTGTCTTCTGGCTCTCCCTTCACTTGCTCACTTTCATCGTCTTTCTTTTATTCCCCTTTATTAAGTGCAACACCAACAAACGCATCCTCAGCGTGGCAGTATTCTGCCAGCCGCTCCCGTTATGGGATCTTTGGCCTGCCAACAGGCGACGACTAGCTCTGCTGCCAACCTTGCTAATTACACCTTGATTTCTACAGGCACACCGTCAGGTCAGAGTCATTTGGTTCAAGCTGCTCTTCTGACTACTGCTACTCCAGGCGCATCGGCCACACCACATCCTATAGCTAGTGTTAAAGATGGTAGTATCGTTGCCTCTGCTGCTAGAACTGGAGCACAATCAGCTGCTCGCGTGATCCTCGTGGACCCAACTTCCGGACAGGTTAATACATTACAATATAGGAAACTGTTCACACATCTCAGAGCTCACTATTTTTTTGCGGAAGACAATAATAGTTGGATCCCTTCTTATAGTTAAAATTCAATATATTTTATCCACTTATTTAAATGTTAACTTTAGGCATTTAAATCGTATATATGAAGACCAAGATGGCTTTCTATTTGGTCGCAGTTTCCAAAACATTTAAGCCTAATAAAACATATATGTACTAGGCCAACTGTTATGGTAATTGAACGTAGGACTGGAGGAAAGTGGGCATTATATTAAAGATTTCCATTAAAATACTGTGGCATTGTTCTGATTTAAAACGTTGACTCATTCTAACTAAATAATTATTCGTATTTACGATTGTGGCTATAGCTTTAGCGGCATTTTTGATAGTATGACCAGTATTTAAGCTTAAAAATGAATGCGAAATGAGCTTCGTTTGCCTTCATTAACCCTACGAATAGTAATTATTTCACGCCCATCATTATCGCATCATTATTTTTGATGCAATAGCGTCATCCTAATCTAGACGCTAGTCTCTACTTCATTACCTCGTGTTTGGATTAACTCTCGAGTATCATGTAGGGCTAGTAATCCATACATTTAAGTTTATCGGATAGAAATATGAAAGGAAGCCCTGAAAATGAGAGCATATAAAATCAATCATTATGACTATTACACTAAATAAACTTCACAACATGCCTCATTTTGGGCTGAAGTTTTATTGGAATCGACAATGAAATTTAATAGTATCGTGGGGTATACTCATCTCATCGTGAGAAAACTAAACTATCAGTCACCTTGAGTGCCCTACTGTGACTCAGCTCTACTCAAGCTTAATCTTTCTATAGACGTTGTTTGACCTTATTTTGCAACTTGGTCATATTGGTAGGAAGACTTAAAGGAATGCACCTGGTCCGGAGTTCATTGTATGCATAATTATTTCCAAAGTCGGACGGTGGACGTGGTACATTACCAGGCGTTTAGTCGGCATCGTAGTTGACATCGTCAGTGAGTCTCATCATTCTTAGGACCACACAACAACTCGTCAAAGAGACAAGTGAAGCTGATCCTTTAACCAAATGTGTGCTAAATAGTTATGGTATCTCCCATTCTGCCCTGGTCTATTCACATTTCCTATATCCTCCTATCACGCATTCACTGTTACAATTTTTGCCGTGCTTATTTCGATGTAGGGTGGTGTGTTCATTTAATCGGCATTCAGGAAAACCCTTGACACTCAACGCTATCGTTCTCACCCCCTTCACCCTTGTGCTGGCAATGCTGATCAGAGTCTGCCATATTGTTACTCAGTCCTCCTTCTCTAGGTCTTATCACAGTCTCCCTCTTGCCCCATAGGATCCCTCAGCTATCTTCCTAGTTCAAGTATTTCACTCGACCTCTGCCACTTCATCTGTGCTGCTCGAGGCGTTATCACCCATCATCTGCGTCTGAGTGACTGATTCGAGGCTAAAGCCTCAGAGTAAGTCGCACGGTCACGCCTTTGCTACATGGACCACGTTTTTTGTAAAACCTACTGTCAGCCAACTAGTTCCAATCGCCGCCTCGTGTATCCTGTCTCTATCCCTAATACCAAGTCTATGACTTGTTATGCCTTAGTCTCTTGTGTGCTAACCCACAAATGTTGTAGTTTTGTGCGTCCCTCTAAGCCCTCCTACTGATATGGCAAAGTTGCGAAAACAAGGTCAAACAACTTCTATACAACGAAGGAGACTGTGACCACACAAAAGGCCACACCATCTTGGTCTTCATACCTTCGATTAATCTTTCTATCTTTGAATAAATAACTAAATCCGTCAAATAAGCAATAATTATTTTATGAGTTTAGATATGAATAACCTTATTGTTTTCCTTTTATAATCTTGCAGTAGTGATAAATTATAAAATTATATTTTATCCATAAAATCATTTTCGATTAATATCTTCCAAATTACTTAGAAGTAGTTTTTCACTTGAATACTTTTTATAATTTCTCTAATTCTCTCGTCTTATTGAATATTCTTTATCTGAAAAATTGCATAGTCAATGAGAAGATCTTTTTTATAGTCCGGCTCATTTTCCTAAATCTGTTTTAGTTTAAACAGATTTTATCTTTGATCTATTGAATACATCTTTATATTTTGCTAAGCGGCTTTAAATAAATGCGCATATAATTAACTTTCTTTTTAATTCTCTTGGGACACTTCTAAATTTTATGTGGCTTTAAATCATGAAATAAAACCTATTTATTGATGATTTTTGTAAAGAGTCTTGTAGTTCGATCTACACCTTTATCGTTTTTAGTTTGACACTTTGAGTATGTATGCTTGTCAATGAGATACATTTAATAATTCTGTCGCCTTTACTGAGGTTTATATTTTGATGCTGAGAATTTCATAAAGCATGAGTTTTTGATCAATCGCCGCTTTTTGTAGAATGATAAATAGCCTATATCATATTGTGGTTCATGAAAAAACTTCTCCACTCATTCACACGTAATTATAAGCCAGTTTTCAGCCCATGCCTATACACCATTCCATCTTTAAATTAAGTTTATGTAAAGTGTGCAAAGTTTTTTCATATGATGCAAAAGCTTGATTTTCGCTAATTTTCCCCATCAGAGTCTGACCAAATGCCTGCATCTCCACTAATACAGAGGGTGCATGATGAACTGATTCATAGGTTGATATCACCAAAAGACGACGGTTTATTCCCAAGATGCTGCAACCGTTTCTCCTTAATACGACATTTAGGTTGACTCAGTCAATGAGACATCCTCTTTTGTTTCAGGTGAAAAGGGGTTGGGCTTTCATTCGTCATATAGAACCAAGGATTGCGTTAACATGAACGTCATATTTAAGCCAAACGGTTGCAGTAAAACGGGAATCAGCCGTCGTCTTCTGGTGAGATGTCTAGTGATCCTCGAATTTCACTTCTGCCCTGATATTAATTAGGTAGTAGTAGCATACCTAAAATAAACGCTAAACTACTTGGGTTCAATTCCCGTTGTAGGCACCGTTGAGACCCAGGCGAGATCGAAATTGCACTCCACTTGGACGTTACTGGCTGTTGGGAGAAAAGACTAAATGAAATTAAATAGCATCATGAGGACTAGTCATGGTATCGTGGAGAAGCTCCCTAGTCAGTTATTCGTCACCTTTTGCGAGCTATGA